ACTTCCTCTCTACCCTATGGGAGCGAGAAAGTAAAAATCAATCCCACAGTATTCCATTATTTTCCTCTCGGTGATAGACGCTTGCAGAGAGGGGGAAAAAGGATCACTTTGCGAATCATACTCTGCTAGTGGAAGAGCAGGCTCCACTGTCATCCATCTCTCTTCATCACCATTCCTAACTCACGTGCTGGAGAAGACAAAAATGAAGTTCAAAATCACGAGATGAACCCTCGCTTTCGTATTTACCAGCCGCCATCGAACGGGTGGGGAAGGGAAGGAGGGGCGGCAGGGACGAAGAAATTCTATGAGCTCTGGATTCGCTGCTGGACCGGTGTAGGAAATTGGAAAACGGAGGAAAAGCGAAACAAAAATAAAATGAGACCGAAAGGGGAGAGTAGAGGGGGGGGGGCGTTTGGTGTGAAGATGCAATAATTACGAAGCCGCGATACTCGGTTACGAGTTTCTTAGAATTCAACTACTGGGCGCGTTAATTGCGCTTGGAAAAAAAAAGGATTCCGCAGTCTGCGGCGGATACCTTCGTCGCACGCTGGTCCAATACTTTTCCTTACTGAAAATCGAGATTGCGGACTGATTCAGCAAATGATTCTTCGCCCAAAAACTACTACTTCTTGATGTCAACAACATTATTCAATGTAACATTCTACTGGAAAAAGAAAGAAGGAAAAAAGGAAGAAAAAACCAACTCGAAATGAGGGATTGACCCGGAGACTTAAACGCAACCGTAGGAAAGTTTGTTACCGACACTGATGGTGGGTAAATGGAGAATTTGCAAGTTTCTGAAAAACTTATGGGCAGTTACACTATTCAATGTAACATTTTACTGAAAAGAAAGAGAGAAATAAAATAAAAAAAGAAAAGAGAAGATAGCAAAGATAGAAAAGATAGAAAGAAAGAAAGAAAGTAGTAGTAATATAATTTTATTTTGAAGCGGTGCTTCAGCATCTAAGGCCATTTCCACCTTTAAAGAAGGCAGTAATAGTAATAAATTTACATGAAAGAAAGAGAGAAGGAAAGAAAGAAAGAAAAAACCAACTCGAAATGAGACATTGACCTGGAGACTTAAACGCAAACGTAGGAAAGTTTGCCACCGACACTGATGGTGAGTAAATGGAGAATTTGCAAGATTCTGATAAAATTGGGCAGTCATATTCTTATGGAGAATCGAACTATTGGAATCCATTTCAGAACCTTGCACTGGAGTTAAAGTCCTTCGTTTGGGAAAAGACAAAATCCTCGCAGAGACGGCAGGAGCCGAGCAATCCGCGATCAACGAACGGAGAACATCCCGAATTTCCTTCATTCCAAATTGGACGCGGCAGACCTACCTCCGCTCTTCCTAACCTCACCTCACACCAACGCGACGCGAATTTTTTCGACGCGGACAAGACAATATCTCACAACTAAGTGGCCCAACCGCAGAGGCAAAATAAATAAGCGAGCGGCGCATGAGCGAAAAACCCAACTTGCATGCAGATTTAATTTCAGATAAAACCGATTCTCTACAGCCAAATTGAGTTCTTCAAACCGTTCGGGCTGGATCTTTAAAAACGAATTTACAACCGATCCATTGCGCATGTGCACCTTTGAGCAGAACGGTTCCAGCGAGGTTGCCGCTTGCTGAATCATCCCGAAGAAGCCGATCGGAAAATTGAGGGATTATTTGAGAAGAAGCGGCATCACTTTCACTTGAATGGGCGGAACGAGAAATTCCTTGTGAAAAGGGCACAGTGAGCCGATTATTGAAAATCATCGATAAAGCTATAGACAAAGAAGACAAAAAGCTTATGGAGAGATCCTGTCGGTGGAAGCAAGGTGGTTGCATAATGGACAAAGATGGTGAGTAATAGTCTTTCTAACGGCAACCCGCGAGAGACCTTATAGTCAGTTCATCATTTACTCCCTTAGGCTATAGGAACCACCCATTTCAACCTACAAGATCGCTCACTTCTCCCTAAATCCTAGGGACAAAATGGACCTATGGACCACCCGATGGCTGAAGAAGGCTGAAAATTACGAGATTTCTACTATTCAGCGACGACTGATAACTCCCAAATTCAGCATGTGATTTCGGCTCATCTCTTCAGCCCTCCCTTAGTCATAGAGAGAACCATATGGGGCGTCCCTAGAGAAATGAACTGTTTGAGGAACGACCAGTGCTCCCATTTTATTTTACCAAAGGGTCCAGGGTTCACGGAATCAATTCTGATTTCCAGAAGTTCCAAGACAAATTCAGATTTTTTCACAAGTGCCAGAAAAAAATTCTGAAATACGTCCGATTCGTCAAATAAGAAGAAAATATCATCAAATTTGATCGAATAGTCGGTCAAACTGACGAAAAACCCCGAAATTCCGGGACGATTCTAAAAAAAGGCTAGAATTCCGTGGATTTCAAAATTAGAGCACTAGAACGTCTAAGTATACGACCTTTGGTCACTGCTGAGAAATGACAGTAAGGAGCAACCGGTCAGATGGGGGCAAAGTATAGGGTCACGGGGGTGACTCTGTGAGGGCGGCAGACGAGAGAGCACCGTTGCCTTTGATGGAGAAGATAGTTAGCCGGCGATGTTGACACAGCGTCTTGGTGTTTGAATAATAATAACATGATAAAGCTATTAAAGGCGGAACGGGGTGGGCGGGTGGGGAGGACGCCCAAGATGGGTCTCTTTACGGCCAGACTTGGGTCTTGCTCTTGAGGAAGCTAATATTTACTTAACAAGATGCGTATCACAACAGTTAAAAGAATTTCACGGCCGAGCTTCTAGCGGCCCATCGTCGGCCGGCCGTCAAACATCACTATTTTCCTATTGAAACAATGGAAATGGGGTGCATTAACGCGAAAATACGGCAACGTTGCGCCAATGCAACGTTGCCAAGTTCTATCATCAAAGCGTGATCGAATACCTATGGACAAGATAAAAGTTTGTGGCTAGATCTGTGAAAAGAGACCTCCTCTTCCCGGAGAAACTTTCCATTCTTCCTCATCAAAATTTTATACAGAACACTTTAGAGTTACTAAAATCTCTTACTTTACAGCCACTCATACTCTTAGAATGCATCAGATTCACCAAGTCTTTTAAGTCCGACTTATTTTCATCGAGTCTGCTTGTCTTAACTCCATCAGCTGAAACGGCTCTCATCAACTCTTGGCCGCGCAAAGGTTCTCGTAATTCCCCATTAGACCCTTGAGAACTCCCCTCAGATTAAGCGATTGGAGTTGAGTGACCACGCACAACATACTGGAATACGCACTAAGAAAAATCGTCGTACAAACATGCGGAGGTTGCTAAATTTACTCTGACAAAACATTTGTTTTCGAGGGAGATTTTGAATATTTTTACTTGAAATTTTCGGGTATTTTATATTAAAATTGCGAGTAAAATTATGTGAAAAGTGAGGAGAAAAATATGCAAAACTATTGGGAAAATTCGTTTTTTATCAGGAGTAATTTGGCAACCTTTCGATGTTCATACGGCGTTTAGGAAATGAGTATTGGCGGATTATTCGCGTGAGGAGGGATGAGAAGCGGGGAAGTACGAGTGGTGAAGCGTGAATCATCTCGACTATCGATATTTCCCTGTTTGAAGCTATGTTAAAGAATCGATTATTCAGGTATACCCTGACAATCGATACTTATCCATGTGTTTATATGGCGGAAGGATCGATTCATCGCAAAGCACGACTGGCACCGGGGAGGACGGCGCCAATCTAATTACATTCCGAGGAGCGTTGATCTGTTCTCGTTTGTTCGTACGAGGCGCTGCTATGCGTTTCGTCGGCACGACAGGAAGCAATTCGGCCGGCACCGGAAATTGAGGACATAAAATGGGATAACACTAATTGCAGCACGTAATAAAAACACATTAAAACGAGACCGAGCAAGAAAAAACGCTGAGAAAACCCGCGGATTCCGACAATTGTCATAAACCGTTTGTTTCGTCGTGTTTCCTCGCCGTGTCGCACACGCCGTCCGCCGGCCGTTGCCACATTTAATTCAAAATTAATAATTACCAAATACAAGCGTATCTTTTTCTTCTTTCAGGATTGCCACAGAATTTCGAAACTGAATTTCCCTGAGTTCCCAGACACATCTTGATAAAATTCCCTGGCAGTTGAAGATATGCCAGATGGTTAGAAAGACATTTTAAATAGTTATCCTGCAAAATGTTTTGTTCGAAACATTAAACTCATTCTAGAGAGCAAATAAGGGTGGCTACACTGTTTTCCCCTGACACTTTCGTCATTATTTTCTCTAATATTTCCAGGTTTTCACTGACTTTTTAAAATTCCCTGGAATTATTTCCGGGTATTTCCTGACTGTGGCGACCATGTTCTTTCTTCCGTCCCCCCTTCTCTCTCCCCCTTTTTTTCTGCCTTCTTTTTACGGGCAAACGGGGGGGGTGTATCAGGGGTGCAGAATCTTCTAAGCTCCCACACTTTCACGTGCCCGCCAGCTGGTTTTCCACATTTCTCTGATCAGTTTTTCACTTAATTTCCCACCAATATGAAAAAAAGATAACGTTTTTCGTCTATATTCCTTCGATTTTCGACTTTTGGTCCCCTAAAATGTTCCCTCCTTTGGGCGCGTGATAGGGCATTTTCTACACGCCTGCGGGCCGATTATTGAAACTGATAGACAAAGCGATAGACAAAGAAGACATAGGGAGTATAGAGTGATCCTATTGGTTGACATGGTTGGTTCTTATAGAGTGAGGAAGAAAATGATGGACTAACTGTCGGGTCTTTGGTGGGTTGCCGTTCGTTAGTCCATTACCTACCTCCTATGTCCATTGCCACCACCTGCTTCCACCGATAGGATCCCTCCAAATCCCTTTTGTCGTCTTTGTCTATAGCTTTGTCTATCAATTTCAAAAATCGGCCCGCAAGGCCGTACCTCCCTGGATCCGCCTATGACATCCTAATCTGCCGTTGTATTTCTTGTGATACCAGTTAAATCGAGTCTGTGAAAGAAGGGAACTGACCTGTGAAGGGGTGGATGAGGAAGCTGGAGTTGCTGGGGATGAGCGAGTAGCGGATGGCGGCGTTGTTGTCGAGGTCCCTGTCGGTGGCCTTGACGGAGCCGACGAGGGCTCCGCGATCCCGGTTCTCCTCGATCGAGAACTTGTACTCGTCCTTGGTGAACACCGGGTCGTTGTCGTTCGTGTCCGAGACGCTCACCACCATGTTCGCCACCGCCGTTGAGGCCGGGGTCCCATTGTCCGTCGCCGTTACCTTCAGCAAGTACCTGAAGAAAAAAACGCTTCATCAGACTCCCATCCAAATCATCAAATTAAATCATGACGCAGTTCATGACCTTGGGCTCAATTTCAAGATTTTAGGAGTTGCGCTCGTCACAGACATAGAGTACATGGAGTCGTAATGCATGGAGAGCTGGCGCCACTTTCAAGCATTTTCCAGGTCTCGAATTCCGAGATTCCTGTGCGGCGCCGGGTCCCTTTTTCGATACATGATCGATTGTTTGCGATACATGGGGACCCGGCCATATTCCACACTGCCATTTTGGATCGAATATGTATCGAAAAAGTGACACCGCACACCGGGCTCGGAACTCGTCGAGCAGAATATGGCGCCAGCTCTCCCACTTACATTACGACTCTATATACTCTATGGTCACAGACTCGTGTTTTTTATGCTTGATTCTTGTAGATTAGCTAAAGAGTAATCAGATCCGTCCAAACCGCAACTTTCTACGTTCAATATTAACCGAGATATCGCCCTTTGAAAAGTCAGGTGTTTGACGTCATCCACCGCAGTAGTGACACCCTCGGTTCCTTCCACCTTGTTTTCATCCAAGTTTAACATTGAGTAACCAGTACGTCACTGACTGATGACAGCAAGGTGGAAGAAACCACGGGTGTCGCTAACGCGGTGGATGACGTTAAAAACCCGACTTTTCAAAGGGCGATATCTCGGTTAATTTTGAACGTAGAAAGTTGCTGATTAGACAGATCTTATTATTTTTAGCTAATCTACAAGAATCAAGCATCAAAACACGATTCTCTGACCAGCGCAACTGACCCATCCACGACCTCAGGGTGGATTTCAAATTTCCAGACGAACGATGCGCATGTCGCATTGTCGCAGGCAATTAGCAATCAGCGGCAGTTGGCAAGCCACAAAAAAACAGATAGAAAAACATAAACATCTGAAATAAAGAACAAGATTAGGGTCCTCTGTAGGAAATAGGTATTTCTGTTTATTATCTGTCTCATTCACATTTCCTCACACTATCTCTCTCCAAATATTAGCTGTAAATTTGCTTCTCTTTTGATTCAGACTTGACGTAAAAATACTGTAAGAAACCAGCAAATCGCCTGTCTTCTCTGACCTCCGCAACCCCGTTGAGGCTTCTCCGCATCCACGTAACACCAAACTCTACATCACTCTACGGCGTCTTATCAAATCCCAGGATCTCCGCTCGATCATTGGTAACTGCACCGGGGGAAAAAATCACACATTTCACAACCCCATGTTCCACGAGCTTCGGCGGGAACCAAGTTACACCGTGGAGCCTATCAAAGCTCAGGATCTCGATGGGGGCGGATTACGGGCTTTTTCGAGGCATGCGGTTCATTAAAGGGGGGGATCAGGGGGGTGAGGGGAGGGGGAGCGGTACATACCTGTCTCTTGTTTCCCGGTCGAGGTGTTTCTTGAGGTAGACCCAGCCGGTGTTGGCATGGACGCCAAAAATCTCCTGGGCCGTCCTGGCTTCGTCGTCACCACTGCCGCTCCTGACCAATTTATAGGTGAGCCGGGCGTTGTTGCCCGTGTCCAGGTCCACGGCCGTCACCTGCACCACCTGCGGCAGAACAGAAACTATCAGACATCCCGTTCAACATCGACACGGCCTCAGTGCGCTACGGCTCGGGCCCGCCATGCACAGCGCAACACAACATCCAACAAAAAAATTTCACTGAAATGGAGAGACTTTCACGTGGCTGAAATTGCATAACCAAAAAATGAAGGTGTGTTTAATTCTTCTGAAGGTGGATTGAATTACCCTTTCTTTCGATGGTGTCTAATTAAATCGGCTCGTACAAAAACCGCTACCGTAATTATTTTGCGTCTGTTTTCTTCTCCTCGCCAAAGATAGATGTTACCATGAAAGAGGTGTAAAAACTCAATTTGGGGATGAGGTCTTCAACTCTAAAACAAGTCTCAACCTCACTTTCATGCTTACATTTATTGATCCTTGTTAAATATTATAAACGAACAGAAAAAACAACAACAATAAAACTTAAAACTAGAGGAGGAGACAAATCGCGATTATGCATTCAGATTTAGAACACTGTTCCAGCGATGTCGCTTTGATCCCTTCTAGTAGATCGTCATTCAGAATCTAACTCGCAAAATTATTGGCAAAACCCAATGCCATTCTATTTTTTTTTCTTTCCATGTTTTTTCTCGAGTGTGACGCGTTGGTACAAGGTGCGTTACCACGCACGAGGCGATAACAGGTAATGGCGACAAAACATCGCTAGAGGTTGGGCCATGTCCGTTGCTGGCAACGGAGACTCTGACACCCTCTCATTACGCTCATGAGTAAGCAATTCAGGCGGGACGTCCTTGACCCGCTTCGTTTATATGCACGGCTCGACGGCGTTCTGAGGAGGAAAGGGGGCAGGAGAAATAAATTGTTGGCGAAAAACCTGGGATTACATGCAGGGTAACTTGTTACCCCGAATAACGAAATTCCTCGAATGATGAGTTTCGACGGTATTCTTCTTATCGAGGGATATAGGGTCTCTCGCGGGTTGCCGTTAGTTGGTCTATTATTGACCTCCTTGATCCATTTCAACCATCCGCTTCCACCAATACGACTGCTTTATGTTTAGTTTGTCTCTTTTGTCTATAGCTTTGTCTATCAATTTCACTGATCGCAGCCCGCTGCGGGCTGATTATTGAAATTGAAAGACAAAGCGATAGAGAAAGAAGACATTGGGAGTATGGGGCGATCCTATTGGTTGAAATGGGTGGTTCTTAGACTAAGGGGGTAAATGATAGACTAACTACTATCGGGTCTCTCGTGGGTTGCCGTTAGTTGGTCTATTGACTACGACCTTTGTCCATTGCAACCACCCGCTAGTAAGATCCGGATCCCTCCATATACCTTTTGTCTTCTTTGTCTACCGTTTTGTCTATTGATTTCAATAATCGGCCCGATGGGGACCTGGAATCCCTCGTGCGCATTGTAAGAGTAAGGACTCTTATCTCTCCGCTATTATCGACCAGAATGAAGCAGGATCCTGGAGCCAGGGACCCGCTTACCCGCTGCATCCGTGCCAAGGGCCGAGGCCGAAGGGACGCTGGAAATTCCATCACGAGCAGGGTCAAGCGAGTTGCATAGCAAGTGCAATTGAATTAAAATAAACGAATTATTCCCGAGTAGCAATTACAGGGAGGCGGATCAAAAACGAGCGGTCGCGGGGCGGGGAGGGGGCGCTGTATCGAGTATCGGGTGGAAATAAGTAATACGAAACTCGGTTTGATAGATAACGTGGAGCGGGGCGGGGGGCGGAGAGTCGATGTATCCGGATGGTGGATGGTGGATGCGTCCGAGTTGGACATCCATCGACGCGACGCGACGCAGCAACGCTCACTGGCCAACTAATGAAACATTCCTCCTCCCCGCCGCCACCCCACTCGCCCCGCAGTGATGCCGCCGGCCGCCGAGCGAAATTTCTCCCGAGCTTGCCCGGTTCCAACTTTTGAGCTTTAGAGCTTCCCCCGGATGAAGGGCTTTGATAGAAAAAGTACGGACAAAGGATTCCATGAAGAAATAGGGGAGCGAGAAAGTAAAAAGTTGACGATTGAACGCAAATGTGGTTTCAATTCTCTCACACTGGTTCAAAATATACAGCTTTTTTTCTCGAAGGGTCCTCTTTTGAAAATATTTAGGTACATGGTATCTTAATTGTGGTATTATATTGTCAGCATTAAAGGGGAGGTAAGATATCCCTTCCACAGCGACAAATGAGAATTCTCAGTTTGGTTCTACATGGGAGAAAATTACAACTATCAAGAAAATTAACCTGTTGGTGGGGAAAGGACGAACTATCCAGCTTCACGGCTAAATATATCAAGGATCGGCTCTTGGGAGAAGAGAAAATACATTCAGTACCTCCTTAACAGAAAAACTCGGTACTTTTTCAGTACCTCCATTCGACGAAATTTGAAAAATTTAGACAAATTGAATTTCCCGCTCCAATTACGACAAAAATGACAAAAATTCCGGACCCTCTTGCGTAATTTACGGATTTTTTCAGAACTTCCGGACCGCCCTTAAAAAATCAGTGCTATTTCCGGAAATTCCGAACTTGCAGACACCCTGTTTCAAACTGCAGCCTAGAGAGATATGAGTACGAAATTTCTTAAATATATCACCTCTGTCCAGTGGCGTGGCGTGTTTTGCGATATATCGATTGTTCTGCCATTTAAACCTATGGTAAAGAATCGATTATCACGGTGTTCGCTGCGAGCACCCTGAGTATCGATCCTTTTCCATAGGTTTCAATGGCATAACAACAGATACATCGCAAAAGCACGCCAAACCACTACCTCTGTCTGGAAGCGAGGGAGGCTTTCCGGCGGAAAGTTGGCCGGCAACGTGGCCGCGAGGCTTTCGACTCGGGCTCGCGATGGCCAACGGGGCTGGGGAATGGCGGAAATGATCTGACCTTTCGGGTGCTTACTCTCCGATATCAACTCTCGACGCTGCGCTGCGCCGGGCCGCTTGAAATTGAAGCACGCGCGGCTGCGGCACGCCCACCGTTTGACATCATATTGTGCGGCGACTCTCTTCATTGAGCTCCTCTCAAAAATTTACGAGCCGAGCGTTCAGCGTTTCGGCCCCGGTGCGCATGCGCAGACGCACGCAAACGTAAACGCAAACACCGTAACGTCGCCGGCCTTCCGTTAGCGCCATAAACTAAGGCCCTTTTCCAACTCCCTCCGTGACTTCTACGGTTCCGTAAGGGCCTCCCGAACGTACGTGAGGAAACCTGACCCGCGACCGCATCCAACTCGCGCTGGGGATGGCGCGCCGGCCGGCATCGCAACTTTTCTGACGCTGCGTTCAAGTCTCCGGGCTATGAGGCTACTAGTTCCAAAGTGCACCATTTCCATTTTGGTTGAAATTGGGTAAGGAGTGTGTTCTTGGCGGCCGGCATCGCAACTTTTCTGATGCTACGTTCAAGTCTCCGGGCTAAGAAGCTATACTAGTTCCAAAGTGTACTATGTCCATTTTGGTTGAAATTGAGTAAGGAGTGTATACTTTGCGGCCGGCATCGCATCTTTTCTGATGCTGCGTTCAAGTCTCCGGGCTGTGACGCTGTGAGGCTACTAGTTCCAAAGTATACAATGTCCATTTTGGTTGAAATTGATTGAGGAGTGTATTCTTGATCAGCCGATAGAGGATAATCGAAAAATAATTTAATCGTGTGCCCAAACAACCAAAATTCTTTTTGATTGGGCGCATTCATGTTAAATGGAACCATGTGCAAGTGGAAAGATGGGGTGTGCTCGTTAGTTGAGGGCCATAACAATGAATGGGACTTCAAAAGTGCCAGTGACGTCCGCGGCGACGATCGAGACCGGGCACGACGGGGAGATCGGTGGCGGGACTCTTTAACTCATGACCCCTGTCCACAACGCTCTTGTCACATGTCCACGGCTCACGAGTTAGCGCTCAATTATTTTTCATTCAATGTAGAATCTCGCTTGTCTATTTTCTCAAAAGGAACTATATCCACTTCTATATGGTTTTTTACGCAGTTTGCAGAAGCATACCCCATCTTTCCACTTGCACATAATTCCTTTTACCATAACTACGTCCACCTGTTCCTGAGATGACTCGCTTTTTAAGTAAATTTCTCAAAAATGCCCGTTTTGATGAGCGATATCTCCGTTAGCGTTGGACGTAAAAACTTGGCGCTTTAGCAGATTGTTATATTTTGTCCGAATGTTTACCCTTAGACCATGAAAACACGATTCTGTGACTAGAACACATGATCCATCAGACGAAATGAGCTCCGGATCCCCCGAGGTGGGTGAATGTCCCATGGACGCGCAACGCGGTCTGTGGGGCCCGCACCGGCCGGCGAGATCCGGGGTGTCGACTCTGCCGTACAACGAAAAAAAGACGTAAGTGGAGTCCAGGATGAACCCTGAGACACATAGGAGCACGTGCTAACCATGGCTCGTTCAGAATAGCACTTGGGGCTCTCTTCTCTATCACGGCAGTGCCGTCGGTTCATTACCCGACGCGGCGGCGACGAGCGATGTGAGCGTGAAATGTGAAAGAAAACGAAGGTGAGCGATGGTTGTGGGGGTCCGCTCCCCCCCCCTCCCCGAGGGCGGGGGGATTGAGATTTTCTTTTTCATTTCGACCGTGTTATCAGATCTGATCTCGGGACCTTTGAGTCATTAATCAGATTTGAATTCAGCCATAATGAAGAAAGGTGTCAGAGCTCTGGGGTATTGCACCGGGCAGGTTGCCGACTTTCCGACGAGTTCTTCTGGGGAGGAGGGGGGGGAGGATGGGCTCTGGGCTTTGACTGGAGAGAAATCAAACATCGCGCCGAAATGCATTCGCGAGGGAAACCAAAGTTTTCTCCCACCCCTCGGATTTTCTTGTGAAAAACACAGTTAAAAATAAAGGATTTACTCTGAGTGAATAGCCGGCGTGAAAAAAAAATCCAGCGCGAGTTTCGCGCCGTACTCTGAGTTAATGAATCAGTGAGTTCGAAAACGCACCAACTCGGAAAAAAAAATTGTCCAGGAAACACCTAAAACTGCGCA